GCCAATACCTGAGCCCAAACGGCCAGGAGACAGGTGAGCAAGGAGTATGTAGCATTTCACAGGGGCGGGCGCCAGGCGGCGAGCGCGCTCGAGGAGGCGGACGAGGAGGAGGGTCCGGACACTGGAGGCCTCCCAGAGATGGGTCCGAATGGACGGGGTCGGAGGATCTCGCGGCATCGCCAAGGCATCGCCGATGCATCGGCATAGCAGCAGAAGTAGAGGTAGAAGTATAAGTAGAACTAGTAGTAGTGGTAGTAGTAGTAGTAGTAGTAGTAGTAGTAGTCGTAGTCGTAGTAGCAGTAGCAGTAGCAGTAGCAGTAGCAGTAGCAGTAGTAGTAGTAGTAGTCGTCGTCGTCGTCGTCGTCGTCGTCGTATTATTATTATTATTAGTAGTAGTAGTAATAGTAGTAGTAGTAGTAAAAGTAGTAGTAGTAGTAGTAGTAGTAGGAGAAGTAGTAGTAGTAGTAGTAGTAGTCGTAGTAGTAGTAGTAGTAGTAGTAGTAGTAGTAGTAGTAGTAGTCGTAGTAGTAGTAGTAGTAGTAGTAGTAGTAGTAGTAGTAGTAGTACAAGAAGTATCGTAGTCGTAGTCGGAGTAGCCTCAATAGGAGGGTCGCCTGTGACCCGACTACTAGTAGTAGTAGTAGTAGTAGTAGTAGTAGTAGTAGAAATAGTAGTAGTAGTAGTAGTAGTAGTAGTAGTCGCAGTAGTAAGTTAGCAGTTAGTAGACAGCAGAAGCAAGTGGTTAGTAGTCGTAGTAGTTGTAGTAGTAGTAGTAGTAGTAGTAGTAGTTAGTAGTTAGTAGTAGTAGTTAGTAGTTAGTAATAGTAGTTAGTAGTAGTAGTAGTAGTAGTAGTAGTAGTAGTAGTAAGTAGTTAGTAGTCGTAGTAGTAGTAGTCAAGTAGTAGTAGTGTTAGTTGTTGTAGTATCAGTTGTAGTTGTAGTTGTAGTCGTAGCAGTAGTAGTAGTAGTAGTAGTAGTAGGATGAGTAGTACTACTCGTAGTAGTATTAGTAATGGTAGTAGTAGTCGCAGTAGTAGTAGTAGTAGTAGTAGTAGTAGCAGTAGTAGTAGTAGTCGTGGTAGTGGTAGTCGTAGTAGTAGTCGTAGTTGTAGTAGTAGTAGTAGTAATGGTAAAAGGAATAGTCATAGCAATAGTAATAGGCGTCGTAGTCGTAGCCGTAGTAGTAGTTGTAGCAGTAGTAGTAGTAGTAGTAGTAGTAGTAGTAGTAGTAGTACAACTCTTAGTAGTAGTAGCAGTCGTAGAACAAGTACTACTTGTAGTAGTATTAGTAATCGTAGTAGTAGTCGCAATAGAAGTAGTAGTAGTAGTCGTAGTAGTAGTAGTAGTCGTAGTAGTAGTAGTAGTAGTAGTAGTAGTAGTTGTAGTAGTAGTAGTAGTGGTAGTAGTAGTAATAGTAATAGTAACAATAATAGTAATAGTACTCGTCGCCGTAGCCGTAGCCGTAGTAGTAGTTGTAGTAGTAGTTGTCGTAGTAGTACATCCTTAGTAGTAGTAGTAGTAGTAGTAGCAGTAGTAGTAGTAGTAATAGTACTAGGAGTAGTACGTGTGAGTCGTACTAGTAGTAGTCGAAGCAGAAGCAGCGGCGGCAGCGGCAGCAGCAGTAGTAGTAGTAGTAGTAGTAGTAGTAGTACTAGTAGTAGTAGTAGTAGTAGTAGTAGTAGTAGTAGTAGTAGTAGTAGTAGTAGACATGATACAAAATAGTAGGAGTAGTCGTAGTAGTAGTAGTAGTAGTAGTAGTAGTAGTAGTAGTAGTAGTAGTAGTAGTAGTAGTAGTAGTAGAAGTAGTAGTAGTAGTAGTCGTAGTAGTAGTAGTGATCGTCTTCGTGCTAATAGCACTAGTAGCGCCAGGCGTAGCAAACAAGTGGCAGTAGTAGTGGATAGTGAGGGGGAGGCTTTACAACGTGTAAGAGCAACTTCATCCCAAACCCAACCAAAACCCAACCGAGACCCAACCAGAATGCGGGCAAAACATGTGTATTTTGAGCACCACTTACACGGGTTTTGGCCGCATTTCCAACCAGAACCAACCACGAATCAACCACGGCCAGTCGGCTGGTTGGCGGCTGGTTGGCGGCTGGTTGGCTGCCAACCAGCCAACCAGCCAACCAGCCAGCCAGCCAACCAGCCAACCAGCCAACCACCCAGCCAGCCGACCAAACGGCCAGCCAGCCTGCCTGCCAGCCTCCCAGCCAGCCAGCCAGCCAGCCAATCAGCCAGCCAGCCAGCCAGCCAACCAGCCTGCCAGCCAGCCAGCCAGCCAGACAGCCAGCCAGCCAGCCAGCCAGCCAGACAGCCAGCCAGCCAGCCAGCCAGCCAGCCAGAAGTCAACCAGGGCGCAGCAGCCGCCAGCAACTGAGCCAACAGGGGCCAGCAGGCCAGCCAGCCATGCGAGCCAGCCCAAGCGCGAGGGAAGCAAGCCAGTCGGCCAGCCAGAACCCAGCGGATAGCCAGCAGCAGCCGCCAGCCAGCCAAGCCCGCCAGCCAACCAGTCAGCTAACCAAGAGACCACAGCAGGACCAGCCAGCCAGCCAGCCAGCCGACCAGCCAGCCAGCCAGCCAGCCTGCCAGCCAGCCAACCAGAAGTCAACCAGGGCCCAGCCAGCCAGCCAGCAAGCCATCCAGAAGTCAACCAGGAGCAAGCCAGCCAGCCAGCCAGCGAGCCAGCCAACCAGCCAGACAGCCAGCTAGACAGCCAGCCAGCGAGCCAGCCAGCCAGCCAGCCAGCCAGCCAGCCAGCCAGCCAGCCAGCCAGCCAGCCGGCCAACCCGCCGCCGCCGTCGCCGTCGTCGTCGTCGTCGTCGTCGTCGTCGTCCTCGTCGTCGTCGTCGTCGTTAGGAGGAGTCGGCTTGCGGGGGGGGTCGGGCGCGCGGGAGGCGGGCGGAGGCGCGGCCGGCGCCCAGCGCCCCCGGGGGGCTCCATGTTGGATTTCCCAGGCTGCGCCAAGCGCGCGC